CGAGATGAAGCTCAAACATGAAGCATGGCACTACCCTGTGGCTGCCAATGCATGGTCTCAAAGTCCCGACCGGTGGATTTTTAAGCCGTGTATTTATTCTTGGATATGGCAAAAAATCAGAAACAAACTAGTTTACAAGGTCATGCGAAGTGTATTTTAAAATCATGGCAGGAGGACTTGATTTTCCAGGCTGGTTCAAGCAGACGTTGAAGTTTTGGTTGCATAATAGAAATGTATTTATTATAGTTATCAAACCCCACTCGTCTTGGCGGGTTGAACTGAAAATCCATGATGAGAAGCTTGATGCGAGTTAAGTTTTTATTTGAAAAGGTAAAAATATTAATTTGGTAAAATTTGATTCATCAGATTAAATTTATAATAACAATTGATTTATTTTGATTAATTCTAAAAAAATATTTTTTTTGTAAAAATAATTAATTAAAATTGATTCGGCAACCCCATAAATTAACCTAGATATTGTTTATTTTTATAGTTAAACTGCACTTTAAATCTTTTTTTTTTACGTTAAATTAATTTTAATTTTTTTAATCATTTTAATATATAATATTAAAAAAATTTAAAAAAATATTATTTTAATATATTTTTAAATAAAAAAATATTTTTAAAAAATAATTACAACGGTAATCACCATCTTAATAACTTAATAACAGACCATGTCCTTTTATCGTCACCATAACTATGATTCCATTGTTCTATTTCATCCAAGAAATTTTGTTTCTTTTAATGGCTCCATGGACTTTGGGTCTTCAGCCTTAATAACGAGTTGGGCTTTGTATGCTTGAACTGGTGGCCGAAATGACCAAAACGCCATCCAGTCACAAATCAACAAAACCCTTGCTGGTTCAAACAATCTAATCTCAGCCGTTCATCTGAGGAGCCAATAGGCCAGTCAATAGGGAATAGGGTTTATAACAAGTTCCGTTATATCTTTCACACCTCTCTCTCAAAACCTACCAGCCGTCTAGCCTCTCCCAGATCAAGCTTCTACAATGGTGACTCTCAAAACCCTAGCTTTCAACTACATTACATGTGCTCTTTCATTTCTTCTTAAAAAAAAAAACGAACTGTCTTTTAGATTTCATTTTATTAGTCTTAAAAAGCTTTGGTTACGATAGAAATTTCAATTTTTTTTTCTGTTTAAAGCTATAAATTAAGTAGAGATTAGGGTTTTGTTGAATTTTTACAAATGGGCTTGTGCTAATATGTATGTTTTTTTACTGTTGTTTGCTGACAGGCCTTTGCCAAGGCGCAGAAAAGCAGGGCTTACTTCAAGAGGTTTCAAGTCAAGTTTAAGAGAAGGCGAGGTAAAGATTGTAACTTTTTGGTTAATTAGATGTATTGTCTGCTGATAAAGTTCATTCTCCTCAATGAGTTTTGGTGATTTTTCCTTTTTTGATCAATGCATGAGAATTCTCTTCTTGTAGCTGGGAAGACTGACTACAGGGCTAGGATTCGCCTGATTAATCAGGACAAGAACAAGTACAATACGCCTAAGTACCGATTTGTTGTCCGATTTGTATCCTTTTGATTGGTTTGTTCTTTAACGTGTTGTCATATTCATTTCTTGTTACACTGTTCTTTTTTTGCGTTTTTGTTAGCATTTTTAGCCGCTAATTTTTGGGATCTTTATTTGTTATATGCTGTAAAACAGTAGAAATATAATTAGTATTACTGCATTTGCTTTTAAATAAGGCCATGGATTGTGCATGAATGTTGACTTGTTAATGAACACAATTTGTTATATTTTGTTGTTTCCGCTTCTTTAATCGCATCTGTAAAAAAATGTGCTTGTATATTGTCTATTATAATGTTCAGATATTTATTGTGTTTCTTCACCCCAGACATTGATGGAGGATGAACCTGAGAAATACCAATCCCACTTTAGTGAGTACCTCAAGAGAGGAATTGATGCTGATGGTATGGAGGCATTGTACAAGAAGGTTCATGCTGCCATTCGTGCTGATCCAACTGCAAAGAAATCAGAGAAGCAGCCATCCAAGGAGCACAAGAGGTTTGTTGCTATTTAATTGATAACTTTTTGCACGCACCCCACACAACTTTGTGGTAGCTTATTTGTTTGTATGGTAAATCACCACTTCCATCTACCTGTAAGTTGCAAGTCCATCTTCTCATGCCATTTTTGCATGGAGCTACTTGAAATTATATATTTAGTATTTTCCTTCAAATTGTTTCTGTGTATCACAGGTACAACTTGAAGAAGCTAACCTATGAGGAAAGGAAAGCCAAGTTGGTTGAGCGATTGAATGCTCTCAACTCAGCTGCTGACGAAGAAGATGATGAGTGAAACATTGATGACTGAGCTCTAATGTCAGTTTTCCGTGGCACACAGGCTACTTTTGAGTTTTTATTTGAAACCTAGTTATGTCCTTCAGATTATTTTTGCTTATGGCTCCATTTTTGTCTCCTTAAGTATAATTTTCTTAGATTACAAGATTGTGATTTTTTTAAACTTGATATTGAATGCAATTTCAAATTTGACTTGGCTAATTATAATTTGCTTGATTAAATGCGGGATCACTTTTGTTTGTTGAAATAATTGCAATGTGGATATGAAGCTGGTGATCATCGGTTTTGATGTTGTAAAACTTGATAAAAAGATTTAGATTTTGAAGGAACAAGAGGTTCCCCTTGTTGGAATATGGATTTACGCTAGAATGTAACTTTGAAATTCAAGGTGTTAAGATAGTGTTAATAATCTATTGTTAAGAATCATTCCTGACTGTGAATCATCTTATTGCTCTCAAGTAAAATGGGGAGCATGTTTTTTAAACAGATGTTACTTGTGTAGCATGAAAATGACGTTGTGAGTACCCTAGGGTTCGCAAACTGTCGTGATTTTGTATTGTAGAATCTTGACCCCTATTTGATTTCAGAAGTTAGCTCCCGAATGCTAGAAATATGCTTGTGCTCCAGTTTTAAGCCCCTACTTCGGCACATAGCCACAAGCCAGAATTACATAGAAGGGTGTCGTGTGGATATCAATGCTAACCAAAGAGCACGAAAAGGGTCCACAAAAGGCACAAGAATAATTTCTTATCCACTGTCAGCCAGTGGATTTCCACTTCTTATTGCAACCAGAGCTCAAAATACTATCGACTTGTAATTTCATGCCACGCGCTGTTGACATGATAAATTTGCCTTTTAATTTTTTCCACCTGAATTCGAGCAATCCTCATTGAGTATGAGATACAGCCATGACTCGTTCACTAACCTGAACTCCAGCGACAACAATAACACCAATTTCAGCCAATTCTGAGATCTTCTCTTTCATCTCTAGGCTTTCTAAGAACGATTGCTTGCCATGGAGATTCTAAGCCATTTTCAGATAACTAACTTGTTCATCGCAGCTGGGCATATTTCTCTTGATTTAAGCCTTTGTATAATGTAGATGAATCTACGTTTTCTATATGATGAATTTGGTGCAAAAA